TTCCCAGCTGTTCTATATCTAAAGAGCCTCCATGGCCCAGCCAAGGGGCTCAGACTGCTGCACAAATTGTTATAACCTATAACAAACAGATGCCAACATTAAAACCTCAAAACATTAACAATCTTAAACATATATTGCACCATGGGAGCCCTGATTGGGGCCTGTAGGCACTGCTGAAGTACAAATAATATAATAACAAAGCACTTTTCACCCCCAAAGAATCCTAACACTTCACAGACTAATATAAATGTCATGCATCACTGAAATGCAGCCACCTCTAGGGTGGAGCTTGGCAGCTGCTTAACAGTTTACAGCTATTTCTCACAACATTTGAGGGCAGGGAGTGAAGAATACCAAAGCCAATTGCGCTGCGGGTAGAATTTAGATAGGCTTTATACAATGTAAAGATAATAAAGTCAAATAAGCATTTACATATAGACTATGTGTTACGCTGCATTTTCAGTTTATGCCCTTGGTTTGGAAAACATAATTCATTTTAAAAGAGATCCAGAAAATACTGATGGTGTTGCATCCACTTTCTGTGCAGTTCTGTATTATGGTTCTTTGCTGGCAGATTCTCTAACTCCTTTCCTCTCTTCATTTAATTTGATGTCCAGGTCTCGGAGCTGGCTCAGGAATCCTGTATTTGGGCAGATCTCTCTGTGAGAATTCACCATTTTTAAAGCCTCCACAAGCGTCATGTTTTCATGGATCATTAAAAAAGCGAGCACTAAAGATGCAGAGCGGCTTATCCCCATGGCACAGTGAACGAACACTTTACCTGCAAATAAATGAGACAACATGTGCCCAGTGGGCTTTAGAACTTGCAAGGTAAGAAAGACCCAGACGGGTCAAAACAGCCAGAATCAATAAATAGCCAGATTTTCACTGATTGTTAGCGCATCCTGAGGTGCTGTTGGTTGGGACACTGAAGCTCTCTGATCATCCATATATGAGTAACAGCAATAGGTATACTACTAAACGTATGCCGGAAGGGAGTGGGATCTAGATCTTACAGCAAGGGCTTGGCCATCAGGAGTCCTTGATGATAACCTTGGTTCTGCTATGGACTCACTGAGACTGGAGGTAGTTGAAAAATGGTGTTTTTCTTCTATGATAAATTTTGGATAAAATTTGAATGCTGAAATGTTTTGGCCAGAAACAGAAATATTTGCCCCCAAAATAAAATATTTCAATTTGGAAAGGCTACCAAAGCATCTCAGGGGGGTTGTAGTTTAAGTGCCTTGTACTCCCATTTCTCCCTGGTTGGACTACATCTCCCATCATGGTCACCCATCTTGGAGAAGAGAGGTGGTGCATCATGGGAGTCCCTGGCCATGTTGCATCATGGGAGATATAGTACAGCCAGAAGCATGACCTACAGAGGACAATGGGGACATGAAGAAACCAAATTACAACTCCCATTTCCAAATCAAAATATTTTGTTTTCAGGTATTTGGTTTTTTGACAAAAAATTGAAACTTTCTGCAGAAGATGGATGCTTTTTGTGAAAAATGTTGTTTTCCATGAAAACAATTTTATCAGAAAATTTTCAACCGGCCCTAATGGTGACCTTCAGCAAGTTATATAATTGTTCTGCATATCAATGTATCATCTGGCTGTAAAATGTGCATGTTACCTACTGTACATCAACAATTGTGATGTGAGGCTTAACTACTGAATATTTTAAAAGCGTTCCAGTGAGAAGTGCAGTGTTATCACCGTTATTTTTTTCTGTGACCCAAGTGCTGAACTCTTCCCACATCTGTGGTTTCCACACTGGTCTTAAAGAAAGTATCCTCTTGATGGGTGATTTTGACCTCCATGTTATCCTTGCCTGGCACCTTGTTAGGCAAAACCATCAGGAGGTTGGTAATGGGATATGAAACTTTTAAACTTGGAAGTACCTCAAATCTCACAATAAAAGTCTCTGACTTCATTTTGTAGGCCAAGTGGTTCAGATGTTCCTCAAACTAAGGCAAAAGACTTATAATCCAGCAGGTTTAGTCTTTAGCTTTCTCCAGAATAGCTTTAATTATCTCAAATCAGGGGAGAGTCCGTCAATTTCTTTGGGAGACTATTCCACAGACTAATAGCTCTCAGGACAAGAAGTTTTTCCTAATACTGCTTAACCTTTTTCTCTCTTACTGTCACCTCATTACTCCTAGGTTGTAGTCTAAGGCAATTCCACTCCTCTTAGGGTTTGCAAGCTTCATGCACTTGTAGGATTCTATCATGTCCACTCTCCTAGCTATTGTTCAGCCAAACTATTTATTAATCTTTCCTCGCAAGTCAAACCCTCCTGTCCCTTTATGTATTTTGTTGCTCTGCTCTGAAACTCCTCTGATAATCTTCCTGGTATTGAGGTGCCTCAGAACTGAACACAGTAATCTAGGTATGACCTCACCAGAGGTATACAGAGGAGGACTTTCTTTTCCCATGGTGCTTTGGGGCCCTTAGCCAAGCTATTTAAGATCAGACCCCCAGCTCATGATTGAAATTTGTGACCCCAACGGTTGCTGCAAACAAAAGCTCTTTAACTCTTCCTCTCTTGAAATGGGGGAAAGATGAAAAATATTGAACCCCACAGAACATAAAATGTTAACACCTTAGTCGTTATTGGGATTATGAAATGTTATTTCCAAGCATCAGTCGGGCGCAAACCTCTATTTCCCCCTTTGTTGCCACACCAGGTGGTTTCTCTTTTTCTAATTATACTTACACTTAGAGAGCACGTTACCTTTCCGAAGTACTGTATGAACATGAACCCTTGCAGCACCTTTGCAAGGGGGTAAATGACTATTCTCCCCATTTTACTTGTGGAGAATCTGAGATGCAAAGCGGTTGATGGCCCAGACCTGTGAGGCGCTGAGGAGGAAGTGGAGGGTGATCAGTACATCCTAGGATAAGATCCTCATTGACTAGTTGCCAAAGAGCACACAGCCAGTCAGGATCAGAGGGAACAACTAGACCTAAAAAAATTCCTAGCAACTAGGCCGTGATGCTGATAGTGATTGGAAAGAATCCCAGTGACTTCAGTGGGCATTGGATCAGGCCCTCCATCCTTGGCTCAGTTCACTAGTTCATGTTGCCTCGCTGGCTTAATTGACTGAAATAGTCTGAATTAGAGCAATAGGTTCCATTCAGCAAAGCATTTATGCACATGCTCCCCATAATATCAAACACCTTTCTTACCTCCTGGTGTGTGTAAGGCTTTGTGTATGAAATTAGCCGCATCATAGAAAAAGATACTTAAATCGAAGGAAGGGTCATCGAACGCTTCTACTCCGTGGTACGCTACTTGCAGATCTTTGTAATGTCTGGCTCCTGTGTTGATACTGTATGGCCCATCTGCTGCATTAAGGATGTGAGTAATATTGAGATTTTGAAGAGTTGCTTTACTTCTAGCAGCCCAGCTGTTGAAAGATGATGAAGGTTTCACTGAGATCATTGCTGACTTTCTGCATTCAAATAGCGCCGTTTAATGTGAGTGCCCACTCCCCCTGGGGAAGAATGCAAGCACTGCAGCTCGCTTTACAGGGCAGTGAATGGCTATGTTAGTCCATAGCGCCTTGGTCTTAGAGAGATGGCTACTGAAGAATGTGAGATGGTATTGTAACCACCACTTGGAGTTTGCCCGCTGCTGGATCATCGGACTGAGCCGCTAGGGCAGTGGGTCTTTAATTTGATTGCGCCCCCTTCTTTGTGTCTGTAGTAGTTTACACCCTCCTTCCCACCACACAAGTACATATATTGATTTTAAAAAAATCAGCATGCAACTCTCACTGAATATTAAAAACAGTAAGGCATTGATTCAAACTGTAATGGTCGATGCTTACAATTAAATGACAGCAAACCGATTAAGGTACAGGTGGCAACGACTTTGTATAATGCTATACAAGCTTAACAGAAATCCATCAGAATGCACAGTGCCATCTAGAGTCAAATGCACAGCGCCATCTGAGGACCTGATATGTCTGGAGGAAACAGCTTTGCTAGTTACACATTGCTGTGGATAAAATGTGTGCAGTAAGTTTTCTTTTTCCTAAAGCTTCTCACCCTCCCCCACAAATACATTCCATGCCCCCCCCAGGGAGTCCCACCCCCCAGTTTGAGAGCCTCTTCCCTAGGGGGCGCTATCAAAAGGACTACAACTAAAGCAACTACCAGAGCCTTGTGACACCATTTCCCAGCGCGCATGGAGTCAGGGGTGGGGACAGAAAGAACTAGAAATTACTGGTGAGGCTAATACGGAGGCAGTCCAGTGGACCAGTGACAAGCCAGGGCTGCACGCCCCCAGCCGGGGACAGCCTGACTCCACACAGATAGGTTTAATTTCAGTTTTGAGTTTGGAAAGTGGGAAAGAAACAGCACAGCGCCCACTGCCCCCAAAGCAAGTGTTTGCTTTGCTGTGAGATCTAGCTGCATGGATTGGGCCGTTCCAGCACCCAGCCAGAGAGAGATACGACCTGGTGCCAGCTACTGAGAGCCAGCCAAGACGATCCCCCCCCCCTCCCCCCAGGATTCTAGATCATGGAAACAGCAAGCCTGGTATGAGTCCAGAGAAGATCCTGGCCCAGCCAGGCATGAAGAATTAAAGTAAGCTGACTTCTATCTAAACCTGCCCATATCACAGTGCTGCAACACTCCTTCTCAGGATTCAACCTCAGGATGCCATGTGCCTGGGAAGATGCCAGGATGGGAGCTGGAGGTTGGGATAAATTGTGAGTGTTGGGAGGTGAGAGATTTGTTTGTTTATTAATGTTTAGTACTTATTAGTTAACCTTAACCCTTTCCTTCCCTCAATTCTATTTTCCTGTTCCTGTAAAGCCCCCCTTTGTTATGTTGCTCTTTTAGGTGTGTTCTTCCTTTTCTGGGGTTTCTGTTTATGTACTTCATTGTCCCTCATGTACTGGGCTTCACACTCCTTGCCAACTAGTTGTATTGATTTTTCTCAAAGGGAAGCACCCCTGTGCATGGGGCAGTGAGGAGTCACCTCGGGTAGAGGCATCACACGCCAGAAAATACCCAGGACCCAACCTGTGCAAGGAGAAGGAAGAAGCAGTTCCTAATATTGATGATGGCAAGCAGCATGGAGAGAGAAGGGAGAAGGTTTGAGCCACACTTCAGAGAAGGGGCTACATGAGTACAGACCAGCCTGTGAGATACCAGTTGTTCAGGAAACTCCCTCCTTGTAGTTAATCACTGGGAATGTTGTTCAGTGGTTAGAGCAAAGGATAGTAGTTAGGATTCTCCTTTGACTGTCCACACCGATCCCACTTCTGGTACGCACGTGCCCCATGAAGTGGGCTCCATGTGAACAAAACATCTCAAAGCCCTGCAGTTATTGAAAATAGCCATTCTTTCTTGGGTTCCATTCCTGTTTCTGACACTGACTCACTGTGTGACCTTGAACAAGTCATTTCCTCTCTGCAGGCCTCCCTGATTTCCCATCTGTAAAATGGGGATAAAGTTATTGCACAAGGAAGTGGTGATGTTTGTTTGATGTTTTTAAAGCACTTTAAGATCCTCGGATGAAAAGCAATTTAGACAAATAGACAGAAGTGTCTGTCTGGTGATTGATAGAGAGAGGCAAAGTAGCTCAGCAATGTGTCTTTTGCCACAAGTACAAAGTAATTGTGCAATATGTTTTGATATTTAGTTATAAGCTGGTAAAAGAAATTCTGTGTTTGCATCTGTGGGGCCCCCTACCATATAATTATGGATCTTTGTCCTCTCTTCATTCTGACTCCTGAGGCTGAACCTCTTGTACCTCAGTTACCTGTCTGTAAAATGGGCATAATAATACTTCCTTTCTCACCCATTTTCCGTCTTATTTAGAGAATAAGGTCTTAAGGGCAGGGACTCTCTCTAAGCATGTATATGTACAGTGCTTAGCACAATGAGATAGCGATCTCAGTTGGGGCCTTCTAGGCATTATTATATACAGAGGGGAACAGACACCTTTTTTTTATTTGGAGTACCTAGAGTTAAAAGATAATAAAATAAGAGCTGTTGAATGTCACTTGGAGTAGCTTTGTACCATAACTAAATGAGTCCACTTCTAATACAGTGAGATAATTGAGCTTGTGTTTTAAACTGTTTCCTTTATAAATGCAAACCCTAAATATCTGGGGGAGATAAAGCCCCCCAAGACCCAGTTGTCAATGTCCATGATAAAAATAATAAATATGTTTATCTTGCTAAAATCCATTGTGATCCATGGAATGTAGAAAGCACAGCTCAGGCAGACTAGGAGTAAGTTATACGTGTACATGTCAAGCTTTTCTTGACATCCAAACCACTTGAGGCTGACTGTCATGGTGTTTGGCTTTGGAACCCTGTGATGTGAGCATAGCTTTACATCTCACTGTTAACCACCTTTACACCCCTCCATCTCTCTCTAGTGTGCTAGTAACAACATAATATACAATATCCCCTTACACGTCTCCCAGGAATAGGTTTGGCCAGACTTGGTCCAAATGATTGTCAGACCCTCCTCTGAACCAGAACAGCTTCTGAAGGTCAGATAGTGCTGGTGTTTCATATGGTGCCTGGCGGCTGGTTTCAGAGGAATAGCTCTTGGTGTTCAGCATGCCTGCTCTTCTGTTTCACGCACTCAGGTGGTATCGCAAAGAGCCTTTCTGAAATAAACCAAGAGAAGCTTTTCATACATAACTAACATTCTCTGTAAATTAGTCCTGTTCTTTGCCCTCCAAATAATATTGCATTTTTATTAGAAGTGTGTACAGTTGAGTCTTAAGGTGTTGCTAAAGGCAGCCAGCCATGAGGGTTGCCTCTGCACTGTCACTATACAGGTATGGAATTTGTCCCTCAGGAAAGCAGCATCATAAGACAGTATAATAATTTCTTGTCAAATCATGCTGCGGAGAAGAAAAGCCCAGCCCCTTCCAAATGCATTGGTGATTAACACCCCCAACCCCCTCCACATAATCCTCAGCAACAGCACCCTGCCTTAGTACATCATTCACTCTGACGAACACAGGTATAATGGTAAAGCTCCCACCACCACCACACAAGTCCAAAGGCTCCAAGTAAACTTCTAATTCCCTGCTTGATACTTTAGGGTATTGGCATTCCACTGCACTGCATTTTATAGTTTTGAAAATGAATTCAGCTGTGGTGAAAAGTGTCAACGTGGTGCATTGCCATGTGGAGTGAGAAAGGGGGGCTTGAAATGCATTTAATGAGAATGTATCCACAGAACAGGTACAGTATGGGCAGCAACAATGGTTCTCAACACTACACTGGAGATGCCATTTTTAGAAGCAAGGGAGTAGTTCAGTCTCCAATGTCTATTCCGTCCCAGGTCCCTGAAATACTGTGGCCCAGGGACATCTCATTGTGTTCTGTACTAAGGAGAAACATCATCCAAGCTGAGGGAAAGCTCTCCTCAAGTTGAAGAGGCTTGTGAACCTTGATGGCCCTGATCCAGGCCCATTAGTCCTCCCGTTGAGGCTGTAGACGGGAACTCAGTCCTTCTCTGTACCCTGGATTCCAGCCCAGGGACCCTGTAGCAAGTGATTAAGATCTGTCTGGTCAGACTTCTTGATTTTTACCTGGGCTACTTCCTACAATGTCTCCATCTTCTCCTCAGGGGAGGTTGTATTCTCAGCAGGAGTCTGCACTGGGGCACGCCCCCTAGTCTCAGCCCTCAAGGTAACAAAGAAAATAAGTTAACCGAGATAGATGGCTCCAACTTCTCTGTCCTGTCCGGATCCTCCAGCCATCTGTCCTGTGGCTCTGTGCTCACAGGCAACCAAAGGTCTCTATGAGCTGAGGGTGAGAGGTCTGTCCACCTTCCCAGGCTGAGGCCTTCTGAATTGACCTTCTCCCTTTTTAAGGCTCCTCCTCCAAGATTGGCATGCCTTGCAGGTGTGAGGGATGAGAGGATGGGGACGGGACTGCCGGAGCCCAAACCTGCTTTTTAACCCCTTCTTGCCTGGCATGGGATTTGTACACCCTGTCACATCTTCCTTGATACACCTGGAAGAAGAAATTGAGTACACCTCTACCCCGATATAACACAGTCGTCAGGAGCCAAAAATCCCTACCCAGCGGTGATTTAAAGAGCCCAGGGCTCCAGCCGGGGGTAGCCCCAGGCCCTTTAAATTGCCGGCGCAGCCCCGCTGCCGCAGCCCCGGAGTAGTGGTGGCAGGGCTCCAGCGGTGATTTCAAGGGCCCGGGGCTCCCCACAGCAGCTGGAGCCCTGGACCCTTTAAAGCGCTGCCCGAGCCCCGCTGCCACAGCCCCGGGGTAGCGGCGGCAGGGTTCCAGCTGTGATTTAAAGGGCTGGGGCTCCCCGCAGCAGCCGGAGCCCCGGACCTTGTAAAGCGCCTCTGGAGTCCCGCTGCTACCGCGCTATATGCGCACCAGTGTTATATTAGGTCACGTTATAGCGGGGTAGCATATCTACATCTCTTTTGCAATGACATTTGCTGCTGTGGTAGTGCAAAAACCCATTTGTTGATTCCTCAGTAAATAAGCCTCTTCAATAGGTCTGGATGTCCCACCTACTGTGAGATTTCTCTTGCATGCTCAGCTGAAACCTTTATTAGTTAACACTGCACTAGACTGAAGTTTTATATCGACTATTAAGATTGAGCAAATTTCATTCCCAATTGCCTTTGCTACGTCTTAAATAATTTCTGGGATAATGAGGTCATCTTGGTCAGGGGTGATGATTCCATCAACCCAATGATGCTAGTGACAGGTTAAACTAACATTTCAGAACACATCCATCTGATGCCTTCAAGTCTGGAGTGCAGAAATGCATTCATTTAAATGCATTCATTTTTGCCCACTGCAAAACTCATTCATTTCTATTACCCTTGATAAAGGTTGTGATAATTTGGTTGCTTAGATTGTGAGTTGTTCTGAACAGGGACCACGTCTTTCTCTCTGTTTGGAAAGCTCCTAGCATGTGGTGGGTGCCACAGCAATGCACATTATAAAGGAGGATCGGCGAGAAGGGGGAGAGATGGCAGAGGTGGCACCATGCTATTCAGCAACCTGTTGCCAGATCAGTAATGGCAAATGGACACTGGGGATCAAACCCCAGGCAGTGTGTGGCCCTACCATGGCTGGCTCTTACCTACCTCTGAAAGATACCTGAAAGGTCTGTCTCTTTTATTATATACTTTGGCAATAGTTGCATAGCTTGTCATGCCAATAAAATCTCTTTAAACGGAACTATTGCAATTCTCGCCTCCAAAGAACATTGCACTTTTGCCAGTGAGCAACTTGCCATTCTGATTCAGATCCAAACTTTTCCCAAAGCGCAGAGCAATTTGGATCGAGGAGTCTATGTGGATCAAGGTGGTTAAGATACACTAGAAAGCCAGAGCTAAATCTGGGAGTGCTTTGACTCTATTCTATTCTGCATAAATTCTTATACCTTGCTCATTTTTGTAGTATTGGGACACCTGAACCCAGGGTTCGGGTTTACACTCATCTCTATAATTTTGCCGGTTTAGCACCATGCTCTTTTCTTCAACAGCAGAGAGCTTTGGGGCATACACAAAAAAATTAGCAGAAAGGATTTATTTAGAAAAAAGCTCATTTTCACCTGGGGGTGCGGGGGAACAATGCAGACAATATATCAGGGTTTTGAATACTCCAGCTATATTCCTTTGTGAGATTTTAGCCTACACACAATTTTTTTGTTTCTCATGCTAATTTCAAGAGCACTGACAACTGTCCTCATGAAAGGATCTCTCATTGGGGTGACCATGTTAATATGCAATATGATGAAATTAAGCAAAGGGAAATGTAGGTTAGGAGAAATTCCCTAACAGTAAGGTCTGTTGATTCATTAGACTTTCCAAGGAAAGTGCTTGAACCTCAATTACTTTAGATATTTAAAAGTAGATTGGATTGACACCGAGGAACATACTGTAGGGAGGTGTCCAGCAGAGACAGCTAGGCACAGATGAGATGGGATCTAAAAGGGGTCTCTTTTAGATCCTATCTCTCTCGTATGATTTTAGTCTTCTGCTATAGTCCGTGAGCCTTTTACATTTTTCTCCCCTCTCCCATGGTCGTGGTTCAGGGACTGATGTCAGAGGAGCTCTCTGCACCTTGCGGGATTGAGCCCTTGGTACTGAATGGTTGCTTCACCATTTCATGCCCTGTCATGCATTCTGTAACAAAGTGCCCTTTCATACAGCTCTTCTGTTCCCAGGAAGTGTGCAACATCATTTGCTCCACATGACTACTACCAAACAAACAAGTTCCTCATATCATCATGGAGTGTAACTCCTAACCATTCAACTCTGTTTTTGTGCTGCATTGACCTTGAGATGAATTCGTCTGTACGGCCTTTAGGGTAAACTCCGAAATAATTACACCAGATGATTGGACTAATGAGGAAAATTATATGAAAATTTTAATTGAAGACCTGGGACTTTGTTGAGATGTTTTTTTTTTTTTAAAGTATACTAAAAGACCGAGCTGTAAAGCTGGCAAAAAGTGCTGCTGCTGATTTGGGTTTTTGTAAACCATCCTCCATGGCTAATTGAAACGGATCCATTTTGGTGACAATCAGCAACTGTAGGAAGGTATGGTCCCTTGTAATTAGAAAATAAGTTCTGGAGAGAAAAATGTAGCTGCTCAGTGTTACAAGGACTTTAAATAGGAAACTTTTTTTGCAAAGATCTAGTCCACATACATTAGGGAGGATTATTTTTAATTCCAAAACTAGGCTGTAGCTTGGGAACATTTTAGGATTTTATTACTGCATGGATTTTTTTTTAAGACGCTTGTACCCTCAAATATATATATGATGTTATTAAGCATCAGTTTACAAATGCACAAAGCACTGAGTCCTAACTGGCCAGGCTTTGGCTGGGCCCTGTGTCTGCAGAACAGTGATATTTGATTCCGGAAGCCTCGGGTTCCACTCTGCAGTCATTATGGAGCCACCCTATCCCAAAAGGCAAAGCCCCGCCCCCATGATAGGTATCCTGCAAGTGGTTCAGCACCTCTAATTTTATTCCAGACTCCAACTGACTCAGTGCCTGTCGCTTGCTGAGGTGGGAAGTATCAAATTAGAGAGCCAGGCTCTAGTTCATTTCCCAAACAGTTAGTATGTACTACGGGGCCATGTCTACATAAGCATTTTGTCTGTCTATGGCAGCAGTTCTCAAACTTTGCATTTAGACTTGCTGGGATCCAGGGCCGAAGCCCGAGGGCTTCAGCCCTGGATGGTGGGGCTCGGGTTACAGGCCCCCCACCTAGGGCTGAAGCCATTGGGCTTTGGCCCCCACCCATGGCAGTAGGGCTTGGGCTTTGCCCCCCCCACCCCCCGGGGCGGTGGGGGCTCAGGCTTCAGTCCCCCCTCCTGAAGTCGTGAAGTAATTTTTGTTGACTGAAGGGGATCACAATGCAATGAAGTTTGAGAACCGCTAGTCTACAGTACCTCAGTGCCTCACAAACTTTTACTGTGTTTAGCCACAACTCTCTGGTGACACAGTAAGTAGTATTATTCCCATTGTATGGTTGGAGAACTGAGGCAGAGCGAGACTAAGTGACTTACCCAAGAGAGTGTGTGATGGAGCGGGGAACTGAATCTGGCTAGGAACTGAGCAGGTCCCGGCTAACATCCTAACCACTGAAGCTTCCTTTCCCTCTCCTTTTACCATCACTTTCCCCAGTGGTGCAGCTCCACTGGTGATAATGGAGGTGGAATAATTAACATAGACCAGCCACAGGTGACTTTAGATAACAAGGTCTTAAATTAGAATGTAAATTTATCTTAGGTGCTGTACAAAAAACAGACTAACACAGTGCAGCCCTTGATCAAAGAGTCTGGCTGCTGCTGTCATACAAATGTTAAATAATAATATAAAACAGAAGTTTGACAGTAAAACCAATACAAATGAAATAACTAAACACTTGAAAGATTCAAACAGTAACACCAAGCATTAAATCATTATTCAATTAGCATGGCTCTTTTTACTGCTTCTGCACTTGGACATCTGTCAGCTCCATCTCCTTCTTCCTCTTTTTCCATATGAGCATCTTTTCATTCTGCAGTCATCGTTCCATTGCCTGCCCTTCTCTCTCAGGTAATACATCCTGGGGCCCTTTGTCTTTGTTATGGAAGAACCCAGTCAGGGAAAGAACCAAGGAAATGACCATGTGAGTGGAATTATTCATTGACTGTAACCTGGAATCTGATCTCTTCTTCTCCACCACCCCCCCCCCCCCCGAAAAGACTCAATCTCTTTCTCAAAATTTTGGCCAGAACATGGAGCTCAGGAAATCCAGAAGTCTCTTGAGGCAGGACACAGAGTCTCATGTGCAGAAACAAGCACATTTAAAAGTAATAGCCAAGTTAAAGCAGCCAGATGGGAACCTAGCAGGCGACTGAAAGGGGAACTCTGTATTTTCCATGCAAGCCTACAGGGGCTTGTTTGCAGGAATTAGAATCTCTCACCAGCAGTTCACTGCAGCTCTAATACCAAGTGATATTGAAAGCAAGAAACGGGTTATGGCTGATGGTTAAATGAGGCACCTACAGGGATTTTGAAATGAGATCCTGCACTCACCCTTGTATAGCCCATGCACATGGCAGAGCAATATTGCTTTCTTGGCTGACTGCATCATATTTTATAGCCTTTTATTTTGCCAATGCTCAAACAGCAGGGATTGTAGAAGTTCATTGCTCTCCCGGAATATTTAGGGCCTGATTCTCCTCTCTGTTACACCATTGGAGTTGTTCCTGATTTGCAACAAAGTAACAGAGAGCAGAATCTGTCCCTCCGACTCTTTGGCGGTCTCTGTTTAATGCATTGCTGTGCTAATGCTGTTTTAATTATTCTGGACTGAAGAGAAAAGCAGAATG